GACGTACGGATGGTCCCAGACCCGCAGGAGCCGCTTCCTACTTATGGTACCACAACCGGCGTTCCCAAAAGGAGGGCTGGTGCCCGAACACTGGCAGCACCAGAGGCATTGGTGGGATGGGAGCTCTCGAGGTCTTAGTTCAACCTCCCGCTCAAAACAGGAGCATCACCGGCATTGCATCGGGATGGCTGTGGCCTAGATGAGCTTAAAGTCTCCCCAACCTGGGCTTCACCGGCCTCCTGAAGGAGGAGGAGCAGCTGTTACGCTGGGAAGCCACAGCTGTGCTCCTGAGCAAACAGTGCAGCCCCTTGAGACCCCGGCAGGGTCTGAGACAGGTGATGCCCGAGTCTTCTCCTCAAAAAGTTGACATTATTTCTCTCCTTCATAATCACCTTCCAGGGAAGGACCAGAATACTCCAAAAACAGCATTTGTTGCACTTCTCCCCAGCCTTGTTCTAACACTCCTGCAAGGGCACATTCAATTTACACGTTTTTATACACTCATCTTTGCCAGCCCACCCCTGCTTCTAAGCGCAAGACTCCAAATGGAGATAATGGAAACCCCCAAACCAGCAGGACCCAACGTTCGCATCCATTTTGTACTGGAAGCTGAAGACAGGCAGCTCTCGGAGCTCCTCAGCGCATCGGAGACATGCAGCACATTCCACCATCTTCTCCTTCCCTATCTGTACGTCTCCGGCAGGCACTTCCCACCTCTGTGGACGGACTGCACCTCAGCTCTCCCTCCACCATCTGCAAATACCAGTCCTGGCCACGTAGAAGTTGTTCATTGCTTCTCCTGACTCAGTTACTAGCTGGATCTCAGCACTCCTGTCTGATCTGGACTGTTTCTCCCAGTAACAGTCCTTTAGCATTCAGTGCTCCCGCCAAGCCCAGCCTCTCGCTCTTTTCTTGCTCTTCTGGGTTTCTCTTCCTCATTTTATGAGCACACCTAATTTTCCGGTGATTAGTGTCATTGTAAGTTACCTTCCTGGTGGTTTCAAATAGAGTACAGTGTCACCTCTGGAGCAGCTTCAAGTGCAAGAACTGCATTTTTGTGCATTACTGTCTGTCTTTACAGATTTCCAGTGAATTTATTTCAAGGAAAGCATGTAAATAGACACACAATGGACAGCGGTAGAGCTGCAGCCGATTTCCCCCCACCCCGCCCCAGAATTGCAGACTTTGCTTCTTGTAATCAGGAGGAATATATGCTTAGAAGTTGGTAATCCTTTGATTTCGAGAAAGCCAGGAATGTCCCGGTTCTAACTGGCTCCCAATTCCATGAAAACAGCCAAGTCGTCGCTCTCCTCCCAAGGAGGAGATTCCTCCTCCTCCTCAAACCTCTTGTCCCCAAACCATGCTCAGAGACCACCGCCTGCACTCTGTGCCACACGTCTCCTTGTCTTTACCCGCCCCCAGCAACCTCCTAACACCCAAGATGGAAGGAAAACCTTTGTGAAACAGCTGTTTTAGGGACACTGCTACAGTACCCATTTTTGAACCATGTTTCTGAGCAGAGTTCTTGAAGCGTAGGTCCACCGGATCTCCCCCAGAGCAAGAGATGCTCTCTCCAAAGTTGTTACCACCCCATTCTCCATCTTTTGCCACGCTTGTTTCACCATCCACTTTCAACACCAGACGATTGCAGCTCGCTGCACTCGTGTCATAAAAACAGAACTATTTTCTACAAAGCCGTGTTCCTTCTGTCCAACAATTTGAAAAAGAAACTTTGAAGAGGCAGATTCAAGAAAATCTTTATATTATATACAGACATATACACCATTTCTCCACCTCCCATTCTCCCAGCCCATGGGACAGAAATAAGGCAATATATCCTTTCCTTCGTTAGACATGAGAACAAATATCATCCTTTGGAATGTTTTCACTTCAATGTATTTTTCTTTTTCAAAGCAAGCAACAACCACCATTACCGAGCTGTAGAAAAGTTACACGTTTCTGGACGGCAGCCTTTCCCACAGTGTTTCACTGAGGATTGTTTTATTTACCTGGGATAGAGAATCGCTCCAGTTCCGCTCCCTCTCTAGTACAATTTCCCTGGTTTCATTCAGAGCCAGTCCTCAGGCTTTCTTCTCTATAAATGCAGTATGTTGGCCCTGAAGATAGCTCACTATCTTTTCCTCTATTTCCATGCCTTGCGCTATTTCCTCATCCGAAAGAGATAACGGAGTCTGTGAGTCTTTGGTTACAATAACAACAGAGGTTCTCCGCGACTCCAGGATATTTGCTACCACCACCTGGTGACGATATTTCTCCAGAGCCTGCCGTGACTTATCAATTAAGATCAAGGGATCTGTCTCCAGTTTAAAGGAAATAACAAATGCCTCTGGGGCCCATTCTTTGACGAGAGGAGACAGCATTTTTGGCACCATCTTCATTGTGATCTACATTGGGGAAAGAGAGCAGAGAAAAGTTTCAGTAAAAACATTACAATGCATTTTAATAAGAGATGGGGGGAGGACCTAGGGAAATTCCAGCTCAGTTCATATTATATTTACACTGAGAAGTTTTCCAAGGCAGTATTTGGTCAGATCTCACCAAAGTAAGTCAAAATGTCACTGGCATGCACTGTAAAATTAAATTATCAGTCTGGTATTAACAATAAGCCAGGTGTTCTTAAGTGATGAAGCAGGCCCACAGTAACTGCATAAACATTTTGTTAAGAGCTAAAACCCACTCTGGGAAAATAAACATAAGCAGAGGAAGATAAAAAAAGTAGTACAGTTGCAGAAGTCGGAGTTTTCAGCACTCCAAAATCCAGGCACCTTGTCAAATCTTAATCCTTCGTCCTAGCAACTCTTTAAGGCATATGAAACATAAACATGCCAAAACATAGGAAAAAAGTAGGAGTCTCTGATCTCCAGCTTCTTAACCTCTGGGTGTGCCACTGGGAATTGGGCAGGATCTCATTTTTCCTACACTAAGGATAAAGAATTAAGCCTAGCAACTTGCTAAAAGGTAATTAAACAAAATAAATTTGATATTTGTTATATATGGAGCTCGAGATACACCTGCTCCCATAGCTGAAAGGGAGATGAGGCCGTAACATTAGTAACTAAAGTAACATTAGCCATGAGACACATGCTACACCTTTGGGCTGTTGTCAGCACTGAGCAGAAAGAAAGCAACACAAGTACTCCAGCAGCAACTATTCTTCAGCTGAGACCACCATCTACTCCTCTCCATGTTGTAAGCATGTACAGCTTTAAAGGGATATTTCCATGGAATTCTGCTCCCGTGGAAATTCACCCTCTCACTCCCAGAGAAAACACAGGCTTTTTCGGCCAGCAAGCCATTGCTTTGCAACCTTTCCTTTTTTCCCATTACTCCCCAGCCGGTCCCCAGGCAGCCGTGACCCCGGCAGGGCGCTAGGAGGGGAGGAAGGGGGCCAGACCCAGGGGCGCCTCACCTGCAGGGGCCCCTCTGAGGACTGGATCTTGTGCTCGGGCATCTCCGAGGCCGGGATGTAGAAATCCGACACGGCAGCTGCCAGGTAGAACATGACGCTGGAGCCTGCGAGAAACACAACTGCATTCACCCCCCACCCCTGGCCCACCCCGAGCGACCCCC